TGCGGCTTTTCTGGATCCTCACCATCCTCAGCCTCAAGTTCGTCTTCGAGATGCTGCTGTGCCAGAAGCTGGTGGAGCACACCCGGGAGCTCTGGTATGGGCTCATCATGTCGCCCGTCTTCATCCTCCTCCAGCTGCTCATGATCCGAGCCTGCCGGGTGAACTGACGGCGAGGGAGCGGGCACCGGATCGCTGCCCTCACCCCGGCCGGGGACGTGCCTGGCTCACCAGGGAGCCCTGGACTCATAGCGACGGTCATCTGGCTTTTCCCCATCTTTTTTTCTGTACAGAGTGGTAGGTGGCAGGTTACACAGGACTGGCGCTATATGAGCAAGGGTCTGTAATTAAGCATGCTGCAGTGTTGTATAGCTTCTTCAAAAGATCCTTTTGTGCCACATCCTTATTTCAGTTCACTCAGCTCTTGGTGTTAGTCTTAAAGTATCCTGCCATGCAAGCACTGTTTCATATGCCAGTTATTTTATTTTAAAATAAAAATGCATGGGAGGATTAGTTTTATTTATAAAATTCTTTTTCCCTAGAAAGCATTTGTACTTAAAAGTGCTGACTGGAGAACAGGAATTATCTGGAGGTTGGTTGGTTGCTGTAGATATCCTCGTACACCCCAGACCACTGCCAGCCAGAAGCGCTGCAGCTGCTGCCTTGCCTGCCCTGCCCTGTCTGATGCCACCCTTGTAACGATGCACTGGCTTCAGCAGCAAAGCTAATTTATTTCCATCTGTTCTCTCACTTCCCTGAGCGCTTCGTGCCTTTGGTGCACGGGCAGGGTTTTATGGGGCCATGCTCTGAGCCAGAGAAAACTGATGTGTGTATTTTTGAACAGAAACGTGGTTTCTTTTTTCTTTGTATTTCAGATCCATTCCCTAAATATCAAGACAGGGGTGTTGGGAGGGCGAGGCATAGGGACAGGAGTATGCACGGCGGATGCTGCTTGTGCGGGGGAGGGGGATGTCTCACTGAACCCTAGGTTTGGTGTGAAACACTGTCCTCAGACTGCCAGAAAGCATGAGTAGTTCAGTAGTCCTTGGGGAAGTGCAGATCAGCATGTTAAATGCCAATGTCACGGGGAACTCCCAGCGCCAAAGACACCTCAGTGTCACTTGTGTTCAGCTCCCACCACGAGGGTGTTGTGAACAGTGGATCTGCCCCTTACCTCTCTGTGAGACGTCAAGTGTTGCTTTGGAGCCCAGGCCCGGAGGACTCATCTCCTTCTGACACTGAGTTTTACAGACCTTTGTACTCTGTTGATGATGTTGACTCTTGACAAAACATCTCCTGGTAGCCGGGGCTTCCCTCCCAACCTCAGCTGCTCCCTGACCCATACCTGTCTTTGCCCCATCTACCAAGCTCTTCCTGGTACAACCCTCTCTGCTGCTCTCAGGCTCTGTTTCATGCAGATAGGATCTTGAGGTGGAGAACTGCTGTATAACTGGCTCTCCAGAGGCAGAGACCTGAGGAGTACCAGGAGCATACTCATGGGTCTGATCTCCCCTGGGAGATGCTCTGATGACAATGAAACAAGCAGGTGCTGCTTTTTTCTCTAGAAAGTGGATGGGAACTGCAGGGAAGTTTCCCGTAGGTGACCATGGTTGTCCCTTCATGCTGCTGCTGGCTCGTCCTAAACTGTCACGGAACAACAGTGGGAGAACCAGTGGCCTGGTCCAGCAGGATCCATAAGCTGACACAAGATTTGGCCCAGACTGTGCCATACTGGGGCTTAGCCCCTGATGCGCATTGTGACCTGCTCCCCACCAGCCTCTGTTCAGGCGACACCTGGCTTCAGCCCTGGCTCGATGTCCCCAGTGACTCTAGATGGCCTGTCCTGGGCTGGCACCAGGTTCCAGTGCTGGAAGTACAGGACAGGAGCTCCCATTTTGCTCGGTCCTTGCACACCCTTAGGTGGCGCTGGGGACCAAGCACTGGCACCTTCCTTACAGGAGCTCCTCCACTCCTGCTTCACCTTGTGATGTGGTTTTCCAGGGCTCAGTGTCACCAAGGTGCAGACGTAATGTCCCCAGATGCTCCTCTGGTCTGTCCGCTTGGAGCCAGCCATTTGCTCACACAGGCCAAGGTATGGCAAACCAAGGACATGTCATCTGGGAGGAGGGCATCTGGCTGCTCCTTGTCCACTTCCGCCTCACACCAGTGTGAGTTCATCCCCACTCTTGGTGTCCGTGTGCTGTGGTTGTGCCCACAACACGCCCAGTCGCTCTGAGTGCACAGGCCACGGAGGTTGCATCACCTGCAGTCACAGATACTGCATTACCAGCAGCCACAGAGTCACTGGTGTGGGTCTGGGAAGGGTGAGGGGTAAGGGGCAGTGGGGGTGAGAGCAGGGGAGCGAGGCTGGGACAGTGTGGGGGGAGAGCCAGTGTCTGCTGACAGGCATGAAGAACTGGAGCCACAGAGGGTGGGGGATGCAGTCAGTGAAGGTGGAGAGGAGCAGGAAGAGCAGCAAAGCCTCTGAATCAGGAGGGGACGCTCACTGAGTTGCCTTGGGGTCTGAGTGGTGCCTTTGGACTCTCCCGCAGGTCCCCAACCACCTGGCTAATTAAACCAAAGAAGGGGAAAACCAAAAAAAAAAAAAAAAGATCAAACAAATGAACACATCCTTCAGCCTCGCTGCAACGCTTCACAGAGGAACAGGGCTGTTTCCTGCTGCTGAGCCCCAGCAGGGCTTGCCCAGGACCGTCAGCCCCAACCTAGCAAACAGCCATGTCACGGGGGCGTGGTGCTCGACACAGGGGGACGAGGCCATATCCACCCGCATGCCGCCAAGCTCACCTGCAAGCAGCTTTTCCAGCATTTTGCACCTGCCTTGGGGAAGAGCCAGCAACTGGCATTTCCCAGCTCTGCTCCTCCGAGGCAAGGCAAGCTCCCAGGTGCGTTTGGGGATGCAGGGGCAGTACGTTGCCAAACTGTGGCACTCAGGGTGCTGCCCTGATGGGAGTGCAGGGGCTGCCTGCATGGTACGG